TTATATTTGAGTGAATTGAATCTCTTGTTTATAATAGATTAAGAGACCTGGCTGCATTTCTATGACGGCACTCAAATAACTAAGAGCACATAACGTCAATAAAAAGAAAGGTAAAGATATTCACAAATTAGCATCCCAAACAAACATGACATCCCATGCAGACCAAGGCCAGAGAGCGGAATCACAGACTATAGCACCTGTAGCTTCGAGACCGACCCAGTGGGCGAAGCCAAAGGTCCTGGCCATGGTCCTTCTGGCACAGGACCAAGACCCATTTCCAAAAATACTGATTTACTGATACCCAAAGCAACCACAAATACCACTACACTCTCCTTTCCCTTCATAGCCCATAGAAAGGACATAAGTTTCAATTCCATTCTGTTGATAAAACCCAGACCTCACCCCCAGTTTCCCGCCAGCCTATACAGGCATCCACGTGCTAATTCAAGTCCTGTTCTTCTTCTGACCCGGCAGACGAACACAACCACCACCAAACCTTTCTAATAGCCATCACCCTAGCTCAACAATAACTATCGCACACTTACACACACCACACACTAAACCCACTAAGTATTGGCTCACACACAACACCTGCTTCACAATGGCTTTCAATTGTGAATTAAGTCCTGCTTCCACAAAAGTTCTGAACAAAAGAGCAGTCCTGCTACAAATCTCGGAGCAGAGACCTCGCGAATTACCAATCAATAAAACATTTCGTACCAAACACGCAGCTTGTGTGATTGTGAATTGGTCGAGGCAGTTCACCTACAGTAAGCAGTCACCACACAAGAGCAAGCACTAAGTTTTGAAAACCTTTGGTCTCTGCTTTTCTGAGACAGGACTTGCAAGACAACATATGCCTGTGCATTCCGTTCCTGACTATGATGACTCATAGCGAACGACCACACCGAGGGGTTCAAGTATTATGGCGCGGCGATGTGATTGCGGATTTTCGCACGCCACCTAGTGCTTATGGCAACAATGATATTATATTGACAGCAAACGTCTACCTTCAGTTGAGCTGCATAAGAATTATATTTGTAACACACTACAACAGAACCAGTACCCCAAAGTTCCGCATAAAAGCCAAATGTAAACAACAAGGAATTGGCCTACCCGTATGAGGCACTCGCATTTCGACTTTGTACGATCGGTTGAGGCACGCATATCAGGTGGCCTAACTAAATTTTCTTAGACTTGACAAGGACGATGAAAGCATAATTTGAATATTATCATTTGTGTGATTGAAAGTATTTGAGTGGAGAATAACAATTTCAGCGGAATTTTGCATTTTTCTACCTGAATTGTTTCCGATCTTACATGGTTCTATCTAATAAAATTCATTTCATTTGACTAATGCGACACATTATTCGATTGTGCCTCTCTTTATCAGCTGCAGATAATTGTTTGCAGAATATGTGAACTTGAACCCTACAAGACTTTAAACTTCTGTTTTTAATTAAATTATTTTAATAGAAGTATCCGATAGATTGGTCAGGTTTATAACAGACCAAAAACTGGAATACCACAAATATATGATAATTGCAAACTTCAATGCACCCTACCCCCTTTTATTCGTCAAATTTAGTTACTCACCAATTTGAACTTTTACTTCAGCTGTAGAGAGGCTGTATTACAATGAGTTACATACGTAGTATGATTGTTTGAAAAGAGGTAAAGGCACCCTCAAAGCACGCTTTAAGATGGTTTAATTTTTCCAAAGATAGACATCACATTTCAAAACTTTGCTTTTGTCACGAATTTAGAAGAAAATGTCATCTTCAAAAGCTAGATTTTTGTCCATGGGCTTTTCCTACTTGAATAAGGGCAGGGCCTGTCCAATATAGCAGGACCTAACAATTTTTGGCTAGCTTCGCCACTGGCTCGAGCTTATAGTCAAAATCTGCAGTGTTTGAATTTTCGAATTCACATTTAAAAAGCAGGCGGTATAAGTATTTATCAAAATTGCGATCTACAAACATAGGCACTGCTGACGAATGTTGTCATCACACATGCCTCTCCAGACAAGATAAAACCCACTGAGCGCAGAATGGTTAATATTGAAACTTCGAGAACGAAATCAGAAGTCTCGTCTCTTTGTTGCACAGTAACCGACACCAAGAACGTTAGGCACAACATGCCTGGACCAATAATCGAGCTCACTGGTCCTGGGATTGCATCGGATCCTAGGCATCGATAGCCCAATGGCAAACAGCCGACTCGCAGAAACCCCTGCAACGCACGTCACATTCCATTTTTGGCGCGAGCCTAATAGTCAAGCTATAGTCGGTTGAACAATGGTCCTTACATTTAACCCAATAGCGAAATCATGAATATAACCAACCGGACCCATATCTCTACTCCGACCCACCTCTACTGTCCCCTGTAATACGCAACAGTAGGGACAATTGCTCGTTTCACATCCTGGGTCCCCCTGACAATGTAGCTCTCACAAGGACAAGAGACCATACAGGAAATAGAACACGGGCGGCGGAACGACCAAGCGGCAACGAGGATGTGGAGGAGGGCGGAGGGGGGTAAGCCTTAAGTAAAAGGGTTTAACTGAAAGATAATTCTTAGCTTCTACATTCTACAATTCAATACGAACTGACAATTTTATATATCTGGTAGCAGGGCCGCGCCGGACGCAGATTTGAACAGGGGCGCCAAAACGACAGATAAAAGGGCAACAAATATTTCTACTTCCCAAAAACGTTAGTAAGTGCTAAAAATAGTAACACGATTTCACGCCATTTTAGACAATTATAAAAAATTATTCACACGTTGGACATAACTAATGATGATTAATTCTTCTTACTTCAATTTAAACAATTTCCGTCCACCTTGGAATTCGCCACATCCCCCACTAAACACAATTGTTCACCTCCATGGAAATTTCAACTGTCATAGCAATTTAATTTGCAACATTGATTAGGTTTTCTCGTCGGTTGTTATAAGAGACGGATAGCTTTTACACTCTCCTTACACTTGATCCCAGGGGGGGGGGGGGACTCAGTCTGTTGGTAAAACGTATTACACGTGAGTTCCGAGAAATTCGAATTTTGAAAATTGGGTTGCATTCTTTACTGATATGATGTTGCAGATAACTTTTTAGATAAATCAATGGCATATTGAAGTACAACAAATTTTGCAATACGTCTAGTCTTGTATATTGTTCTTATCCTAGATAAGAAATTTAAGTATTTGTTAGCATGTATTCATTGCAGGGACACAACTTTTTCATTTCTTCATAAAAAAAATCGAACACAATGTTGTGAAGCAAGCAATATGTTGCAGTTATAGTTTTACAGATGTCTGATCTTGTAAATATATATGTCAAGAACCACAAGAGATTGATGTTGAAATCAAATTTAGTGAACTCTGCTTTTTAACTTGCCTAGTCATAAGTTTAAGAAAAATAATGCTCCTAACATGAATTGGTATCAGAAATTCTTGCTCAAGCTTGAATAATATCAGTGAAAAGAGTTACACAATTTTGGCAGAGTCACAAAATAAGGTACATTTTACGCATCCCAGAATCAGAGATAGGGCTCCAGTTTCTACTTTCAAGAACACACACGATAAACATTGGACCAACTGACTGTGCCCGCCGGGGACTTGACCGGACCTTTCACTAATGCGTTTTCGCAGTTGCTATTGCTCATCACAGGAGCTTGCGCTTTTTGCATCAAGACCAAGTAAAAATTTAAGGAATTTTCAATGAATGGTCCTCCAACAACGTCCAGAGTTATGTTATTTCACTTAGTTTGTAAAGGCAGAATATCTGGCATTGAAAAAATACACGCAATATATTTCAAAAAGGGGCACTTATTTATACTTTTTGCAAACAGGGGGGGGGGCTGTGCCCCCGTGGCCCCCCTGGCTCCGGCGGCCCTGTGTAGGTATCTTCAACATTGGCTAACTTTCGGCACAAGGAATTATTTTACATGTTTTGAGAAGTGCAGAATTTCATTTGAATCTCACTGATTATTACAATTGGCCAGTTTCAAGGGAACTTTATTAAAAACAACCCTTGCCCCTTCTGTCAAAGGGCAACAGGGGCGGTTGTACCCCCACACCCCCTTCTCTGGCGTCCCTGGAAATAGAAAAAGGATGTTCGAAGGAATATTTATGAATACGATGCAACTATAAACACACATGGTTTATCATTTGCCCATATAGTGGGCGTGTCCCACAAGCAAGGAGGGCGTGGTTCCGATGCCAAAAGATTTGAGCTATAGTCACCAAAAATCCTGGATCCGCCCCTGCAGGGATGAAATTTGGACCACTACGTCACTGACTATGCCACTATAATGTTATATTTCCAGTCAAGAAAAGTAAGTAATCATTCAGAATAGTTAGACTATTAGATAGTTGGATAGATTTTATTTGCTCTTCAGAATTTGAATTAACAAACATCTCTCACAACAACCATGATAACAAACAGAAGTAGGCAAACTGAAGGATTCAAATCTGTAGAGAAGTTAACATGTTTCTATGCCAAATGACTCGAAAATGTGTTAATATCAACAGTGATAATAATGAATAAGTGTTTAATTGAAAATGTACGAGCTTCAGCTACTACAGAGAGCAACTCCAAAGCTTTTAGTTTCGACAATATGTGCAGCCTTTAGTTTAGATATTTCTTCGCAGCTTCATTTCAGTGAAGGTGATATGGCCAAAACTATTCTTCAATTTGAGCCACGAAATGTGCTTAATGTTGGCAGCAACGTTGTAAATCCCATTCAGGTTTGAATGGTAACAGTGTTGGTACCACCAAGCTCCTCCACAGCCAATAGCGCAATTGCCACTCCATCGGTCATTATCCCTGTCCTTCGTGGTGAAATACATGTGGTTTTGAAGTGCCATGGCGTCGCCCATATCTCCCGAGTACCCTGACACAGTCAGCTGGTACTTTATGGCCTCCGTCCCTACTCGAAATGTGTAGTATGTGGCATACCAAGGCTTACCATGCAAGTCCTTGAGATCGATCCGGAGTGAAGACCCATGGTTGGTAAGAGCATGGATCTTGTCAAGGCCAAGCCAGAAATTTCCTGACAGGGAACCAAATCCCTTCTTATATTCGTCCCAACCACGATAGAAGTCAGTACTGGCGTCCTTTCGTCTCTGGATAACGGTCCATCCTCCACCGTCAGTTGTCATGTCACAGTAGACTTTGAATGGTGCAGATCCACTTACCTGGATTGTGTATTCTCCGTTGGTTCTTGACCCAGCGTCATAAATTCCCTTACAATCCCGTGTTCTGTTTTCTATAGTTTGAAACACAAAAATGGTATAAGACGTTGGGGATTTACTGCTGACCCACATACTACCAATACCCAATAGTTTCTCCTTAAATTCTAACTGAGCTTAAATAATCCAATAACCTTCTCCATCCAAATTATATTCAAAAAGGTGAAGCCAAATGGAGCTTGTAGGATCTAGACCAAAACTGTCGAATTCAGGG